TCTGCAAGGTTTATTGCTTGTCCTACATTTACATTCATCTGTGCACATACACAGCACGTTTCTCCCTTTGCACGGGCACCCACGAGAACTATTTTCTTTGCGCTTCGTCGTACAAGCAATTTTACATTTACAACAGATCACCGAAGGTTCGTCGATAAAAGAAATTCACTTTCGTGAGCATATGCTTTAAATAAACTTGATTCAAATGCAAAATATATGCAGAATTCTTAAACTCGCCGATATTTCCATAATGGCGTTCGAGCGTGACAAGTCTCGGAGAGAGTGTATGCTACTGCGCATGTCAACTTGTGACAGTGTCCCTTTAAACTAAATGAGAAGAATTTGCCACCTTTCTATAACATCAAGAAATGATTAGATANTATGGCTGTATCGTATGTGGGGACTGTGGAAAGAACAACTCACAACGTTTAAAAGGGTTACAAAATCAGGCCATGCGTACCATCCTCTCTACAAATCGTAATACATGTTCTCAAGAAATGCGTAGTAAGCTTTCCTTATTATCATCGGAGAGTCGGACGTAGATTCCTAAGACTTAATCTTGTTTCTAAGATTATACATAATATAATCTCCTTAATCTATCTCCTTAAGAGATCAGCCTTTTATACCAGAGATCTTAGAGACTCTACCTTATTGAACATTGTTGCTACCTGAGACCAAACTGGGTCAAACGTCATTTAAATGTACTGCTGCTAGGGAGTGGAATCTTTTACCAAAGGACATTCGAGAGATACAGTCTTTATCTAAATTTAAGGCAATAGTTTTTATATATTTTTTAGAATACAATGAATCTAATCATTTATTTAGTTTAAAATAGGTATTAGCTTCTCTATATATTTGTTTTGTTATTTTAATATATACTTTAGTTTTTTATAGGGTTTCTCCTTTGATTTTGATTGATATCATTTTTCATGCTGATCACTAGTTTATACCAGCCAATCTATTAGATTGCTGATTAGTTTCATCAGTTGAAATAAAGCTTATTATTATTATTATTATTATTATTATTATTATAATTATAAGTTGTCAGAATTTCTGACCCCTGTTTATCACTTGACATTGAACTTGGAGTTCAACATAAGCTGAGAGTTCAATTTTAATGATGTATTTTCAAGTTACACCTATTGTAAATGGGACAAGAAA